ATGGATACTGAATTTTTTAAGAGAAACCTGAAACTCTCTACAATCCGAAAATGAGATACAACTGTGAGCAAAAAAAATATCAACACAAAAATTCGAGTCTCATGCAAATAGTGGGAAAGTACCCTTACAACTTTGACTGGTCAATGCACTTAAATGATGGAGAGCTGGGACGCATCATTTCTAGACTTTAGCAGTCATATAACAGCTCATCAGTTATAAAATCACAACAACTGTTTATTAGGAGCTACAAAATTCTTCATGCACACATATACATGAACACACAAAAGCAACATTTGGATGTGTTGTAAGAACAATTGTTTCATGCGGCCTGGACGGCATTTGCACAATATGCGGTCCATAGGTATAAAACATCTATCTTAAAGATGGATGCAAATACATGGTCCAACTAAAAACAATTGTAACTAATGGCCCAAATGTTTCTTTAATATAATTATTATTTCTTGTTTTCAAATTTTATTTATTTATTCATATTCATTATCTTCATGTCAAAGACTATATATTCTCAAAAAATTACAATCAAAATATATTTTAAAAATATATTTATTGCCAAGCTCGCATTTGTACATGCGTGGGCTTGGCCGCATGCTGACCGCATCCTTGGTGTACTCCCATCACAAGAAAGGGCATATCCAAATTGAACTAATGCACCAAAATGACAACAACTGTTTATTAGGAGGTAAAAAATTTCTCCATGCACACAGATACGTGGACACACAAAAGCCCCACTTGGATTTGTTATAATCCTATCACAAGAAAGGGCATATCCAATTGTAAGGTCATCTAGGACAAACTTCTTGTGTTCAACCCTTCACTTCCCTCAGCCACCTTCTATCACGACAAATTCAAGAGACACATTAGTCATGTCAATCAAAGGCAGGACAATACTTCATCTGCCCAAAGGGTGGATCACTATAGTATGAGCCCTAGGGTGACAACCATTGGATGCCCCATGGCTCAATTTGAGCCATGGGCTTCTTTTCTTTCTTGTTCAGTGGTTATAAGTAGTCTTGGTAATGAACCATCGATGTCTAAAGGGGGGGAGTCTCCCCAAATCTCTCTCAAGTTTCTATAAGGTCTAGACTATATGAAAATAAAATAAAGTTTCATCTCAAATCCTCATCTAGAAAGCACTTTCGGTAGTGGAAATTTCCACGATGGATTCAAAATCAATTTCCAACACCGATAATGAAATTTGAAACTCAAAAAATGGTATGGATCTTTTAGATCTATAAATACTTATTTTTAAGGTGAAAAGATGGTTTAGATAATTTGTTACAACATACATAATTTTAGAGCTTAAAATCTTAATTTTTTTCACAACTAATATGTTCAAGCAGAGAAGATCAATATAAAGGTTTTTCAATGCTTTATTGTAATTTTTGATGAATTATGAGGTGAGGCTTTCCTTGTTTTCCTAAAACAATTGGGGAATAAAATAATATAGCATGCTAATGAAAAGCGATGAAACACAATAACTCATCCAATTAATATTTGAGGCATTCACAATTTGTAATGCCTCTATTGTAGAAAAGAAATATAACAAAGGGATTGTAAACTATAGGCCATTTATTTTTGTCACAAAGAAGTCACAATTACTCGTAGCCGCTAGATGCCAAATACGACGGTTTGGAATGTGTCACAAAGTTCGCAAAATTCTTTCTAAACTTTGAGTTCAATTAATAACACACTCACAACAAATCTGACATAAATCAATAATTATGACCTCCTTATACTAAAATCAAATCAAATGGCCTCTATCTATATTTTTCCTATAAGAAAATACATAGAATAAAAAAAAAAAGAGCATTTATTTCAATTTCAAGAACTTCCATGGCAAAAGCTTCAATAAGGGATACCTCATCGCACAAAAGAAAAAAAACTGACATTTGCTTTTGATATAGGAAAAGAGAGGTTTATCATCTTTTCCTGTCAAAATGGGCTGATCAGATAGATAAGTGGAATATTGGCAACAAAAACTTACCTGCAACATGCAACTGCAAACTTATTTGATGGAAAGAGGAAACCACAACAAGCAGTTAATCACGCTGCAAAAAGAGAGAGGAATTTATTCTCACCGAATGAGGATGATGCATTGAATAATTCAACAGAAAATATACACCACTGCTGTGTTAGAGTACGGTACACGACCATGAGATTCACCAGTCTAATCCCCTTTAAATCAACGCAAAAGTTTTAACTATGGACCCAGTTTCTATGAATCCATGTAAAAATGAGGTGCTTCTTAAAAATCTATTTTTGAAATGAATTTTTTGATTTAATTTTTAAAGACACGTAATCTCTAACATGGAGATCATGAATATTAAAAAATAAATAAAATTTGAAAATTAGAAATAATAATTCTATTGAGAAAACATTTGGACTGTTAGTTTCAATTGATTTTAGATAGACCATCTATTTGCATCATCTTTAAAATAGATGCTTTATACCTCTAGACTGCATATGCATGTATAGGAATGCTGTCTAGCCCGTATGAAACAATTTTCCTTCGATTATTGGTTTAGTTACCGACTTTGCCTAGGTATCTCCAATATGAGAATAGAAATGACGCTCCTATAGAGTACCATTTAGCATACACAACAAGTGAATGCCAAATTATATGATATTAGATATAGAGAGACGGGTTCAAAAATCGAGTTACAACTAAGGTCAGCGATTTTTTTCTAAATATCGCATAGCCCTTTTGTTTTCAATATTAGCGGTCATATTTTATGATGTAAAGTAGAGTAAATCAGATAAAAGTAAATTACAATCAAGAAATCAAGGGTTTCATGTAATATATATTTGGTATCTCGAGCTCTTATTCTATTGCTTTCCCACCTTACCTTGGCATCCTCTTGATGGGTGTGGTTTGCACAAGGTTGCAACCTTAAACAATCAAGGTACGGCGCATCTCCAAACTTTCTACCGCAACAAGTAAACGTTTCACTCATTTATCAACACACAGGTAAATATCAACTACTCTAGCTCATGATTATTTCTTTTCGTTGGTTTTTTGAAAATTGAATCAAAAGAAATATACACAGGTTAGATGGCTCGTTTATTTTCATTCACCATAGTAGCCACGTTGTGTTTCTATTCCCACTACTAACACTACCTCACTAATAATTTAAAAAATTTGACGGCTAATCTAATATTTTAAAAAAATTGACGGTTAATTTAATGGGCATATCTTCCCCACTAAATTACCAACAAAAAAAAAAAATTACATTATGCATTCATTGCCCTCCTTGAATACATTACTTATTTTCATACGACTTTGGTACACTCCAGTCAACCCATTACTATCTTACTTCTCACTTCCCTCCAATTACTTGTCATGCTTGCTATGCCCAAGGCACTAATCGGACTCCCTATTTATATCCTCATTCCAAAGCCTTAGATATTGGGGAACAAGAGTGTGGCATGTAGCTTACTCATAAGCTAAACACTTAATAGGTAATGTGGTGAGTGCTTCAATGAAAACATTTTTGAGTAATAGAAGCTTTTAGAATAAGAAGGGGCAGACAGAAGGGACAGAGAAGGGATAGGAAGCTCGTTGATTTCTACAATTCTCTCCCTCAACATTGGTTTTTCGATCGTCGATCTTCTTATCATTTTCAAATATTTAGTAAATTTTTTTATTTTAAGCTATTTTATAAATATATCGGTAACTTGATCTTTGGTCAAGATTGGTGCCAGCGTGATTTTTTCATATAGGACCCTTTTTTGTAAAAAAATTTAGTATTTCTTCAAGGAGAACTTTTTCTTGGATGTAATGATGTACTGCAATATATTTGGTCATGATAGTAGGATTCTTAGCCAATCGGATAGTTGATAAGGTATTGAAAAACAATAGTACTAGTTTCTCTACCAATTGACACAATTTCTCTAAAAAAAAAGTGTCGACGAGCTTCGCAACCGTCCCTGCCGATCTGTATTTGTGCTTATGTGGTCGATAGGGACGCTATTTATCGTCTCTTGCTACACCAAGTAAATATTGTTGATTAGAGCATGGAACATTTCTTTTACCTAAAATTTTGGGATATACCAAAGATTCCCCATATGAATGAATTTTAAAAGAAAAATTGGATTTTAAGTTCTTCAACACTAAAGATCGTTCAAAAATTGGTTGGTCCTCGTTCCATCATGAGATATTAGTAGGCACATGGAAAGTGCAAAAAAAATAAATTAAGATGTTGGTCTCTAAGTTCAAGAGATTACATCCTCAAATTTAGGGTTTCAAAAATACCCCTAGCTTCAGTTTTGCCCTAGGGAGCAAATGGACAATATGCTTTGGTGGGGGGAGCAAAAAACAACTTGTTCACTTTTTATCTCATTCTCATTCCTTCCCCTTCTTAGCCTGTGCTAATTTATTTTTGAGAACAAGTGGGATGATTGATAAGAAACAAGCATCACTACTCTTTAATAATAAATGAGGAGGAAGGATTTGTTAACCAAAAAAACTCCATGCTACTTTTAAGTCTTTATTCCATTCAAATATTGTTAAAAAAAAAAGCAAGATGGGGAAAGGTTTCTATGTTTTCCTACATCATAGCAGATCTATGCTTCCCCTACCATCCAGCCATCTAATTTTGATCAAGATAGCCACTCACCATTTGATCTTAGATCCGATGTTTCAAAGTATTTTTATTTTTATTTATTTTTATTTATTTTTATACAAATTGTATGAATATGAAATTTGGTACGTATTATCTTTTCATTGGGGCGCACCTATAAAAAATATTAAAAATAATTCAGGGGTATTTTAGTCATTTTATTTTATTGGAAATATTGTTTGTATATTTTTCACTAGTGCGAGTTTAATAGAGGATTGGACATCCAAACTTTAGTGTCAAAATAGTTTATAGAAAAAGGTTAAAAATAAAATAGTGTAGAGACGTGACATTGTGATTAGGGCAATCTTAACCTTCCATTTAAAATGGACACTTAGATATTGGGAAGTATCCAAACTTTTTGTGGTAGGGGAAACATAGAAAGCTTGGCCTGCAGAGATTATTTCACATCTTGAAACTAAAAGAAGCAAGACAGCCAAACACAAAGCAAACTCCCAAAACCTATAAATGCCATGGTGCCAATGGCTGAGTTCCTAGACCTTGAAACAAAATGCTCACACACTACAATTTATTGACAAATTTTGATTTCCCCTCCTAATGTGGCACTATTCTTAAGGACACTTCTTCCAATCTCTTCAAAACCGTCTCTTTCTTTTCATCTTTTTTATTTTGTTCACCATGAGAACCTGAACGCCCTTCGGAGCCAAGGTGAGGAATACAACCTTTCCGAAAATGCAAGGGTGGGGGTGCATCGATAGCCAGATTGAAGGCACAAAGGAGGTGCAGATTTGTACCACAAGGAGCACAATGGAAGCATGAAAACAAACACTTTTTGCGGCACTCGAGGCAAGAATCCGAGCCTTTGAGAGACTCACCAACAACTGGCTTGGGGAGAAGCTTCAGGAGGTGGGGTTGCTCGTTATGCAATACGTTACAAGGCAATTTCGAGCACAACGGATGCACATCGAAGTCGCAGTGCTTGCATGTGTAGAACAATTTCAAAACTTGGGTCTTGCATATATCGCAGAGCAGAATGTTGTCATTTATGTTGTCTTCCTCGTGCACTTCCCTCTCCAAGCCATGCTCTGGGTGTACGTGGCTCTGTGGTAGGGATTCACGGCAGGTTGCGCAGCATTCATGCAGGTCAAAGTAACAAGGAATGTACCTGTATCTGGCGCCATAGCCCATTCCCCTGCACCCATTGCATATGAAATAACAGGCCCTGTACATTTCATGGACATGATGAGAAGAAGGATGAAGAAAATGCAAAATGCTCTTCATAAGTGGTGCCATATTCTTATTGCCTGAAAACTAAGTCTCCCCTTGCACAATAAAAAAAAAATTGGAAAGTCACTGTAAGGCTTGCCTTTGCATAACGACCTTAAATAGACTAGTAAGGCAGCCAAGCCAACGGGCATTACTTCTTTCTTATTCTGTTTGTTTGTTTATTTATATATTTTATATATTTTTTTGTTTATCTATTTATTTATTTCTTGGCAAGGCAATGGGAATTGGGGCCTTTTCTTTATTGATTTTGACGCTTGATCAATTGAGTGAACCTTGGCATGTGCAATGTTTTAACGGTCATGATGATGGGTGTTACACCACGTCTCGTGTCTCATTTTTTGCCTTCCATTCCTACTGAGGACAAAAGTTGGGATGGTGGGTGTCATGATATGATGTCTTGTATTCAACTTTTTTTTTCTTCTGTCGAGTAACATATTGATTTCCTTACGAATCATGAGAACAAAAAGGAGGAAAAGGGTTAAACATAGGCCTAAGCCTTACAAATAAAGGGAAATACTTGCCTCAAAACTAAGTGAAAAGTATAGTTTTGGCATCATAAAACTTTCAGATTGATCATTTTGACCTTGAAAATTATGATTGTAAGAAAAATTATGATTTCAAGCTCTCAAAATAATACATATTGTAACATATTATCGAGTACCCTTTATTTTCCAAGTGTTCACATATCTTCAAGATTTGTGCCACGCTTTAAGCTTCAAATGTCATAATCAAAATTGATTTTAAAGCCACAATAAGATTTCTAGTCTAAAGCATTATACGGATGAGGTTTCAAACAAGGCTTTTACACACTTTCCATTAAACCTAGGCCTAATAGAAATTCCATCATGAAAAAGATGGGTGGGCGCCCCTTCTTAGGGCTGGCAATGGGCTTGGCAGCTTGTCCCGCTTTTTTTTAAAAAAAAACCAAAAAAAAAAAAGGTTTAAGAGGCTAAGGCACAATTTCCACGGATTGAGCTAGGTTCACTCTAACGGACACGATCCACTTTTTTTTTTTTAAGATTTATTTTTTTAGTTTTTTTTATTTGTTTTTGACCCAGCCTGATCTTAAAAGGAACAGGGCTAGGGTGGACTGGTCCTAGGGGGACAAGGGCAGGGGCTAAGCCGGGCCCGGCCCACAGCAGGCCCAGCTCGTGTCGCCCTTACCCATTCTTTAAGGGCTACCAGACGGAGACAGTAGCAATGAGTCGTGGTTAGTTCCCGCACATCAGTATTCCGCCAAGTTCAATAGTGACAAAAAGGTCGTGAGAGAATGACACTCGCTTAGTTAATTCAATTAATTGGAAACAAAGAAGAATCTTTGTTTCAATTTGTCAATAGTGGATCTGATCCACATTCCATAAGCTATCTTCACTGTCTCTTCACTTACTTCTTTCTTTGTCTTCGTTTCCTTGTCCCTAAGTTAAAACCAGCGCGCATAACTTTCCGGCTACATGGCCGGGGTTTTGAACCCGATGGCTCGTTTCCCGGCGAGTTTTCCTCGCCGTATAATCGAGCCAGCATTTTGCGGCCAATCTGAGCTCTCTTTCTATTCTTCTGGTAAGGTAGGACTGTATGATTCTCTCTCTTTTTATTTTTTTTGTCTTTTACTTATCTCTCCTTTGCAGTTCTTTATCAAATAATTTTTAACTTTTTTTTGTTTATCTTTTCTATTATTCTGAAATTTTCTGGGCTTAAATGAATGATGAACAGAGAGGTAGATTTGGGTTCAGACCTCCTATTTCAATGTTTTTTTTACTATTTTTATGTCATTTATGTGACCAATTTCGTATATGGCCAACTAACTATGTTTAGTCTGGTTCCTGGCTCGATCTGATCTGGGCTCTTTTGGTCTTTTATTTGAGTTTTTTCCTATTTTCTTATTTGATGTGTAATGAAATGTAATGATTATTATCAAACATAATGATTATTATCAAATATATTCTAGAATATTTTTTATTTTATTTCTTTTATTTGAGTTTTTTCTATTTTTTGTTTGATGTTTTATGAAATCTGATGACAAATTTTCACCCAAAAAAAACTCTGAAAGTCACTGGTATTAATCCATGGCAATTGAGTAAATCATAATGATTAAAATGTATTATTAGAAAATAGAATAAATTGTGCAAAAGCTACTGAATATAAATTCGCTATGTGATGTACTTTGTCGACTGCTATACGTTGCCATAAAAAGAAAAAGTGACAAAATTTCCTTTAAACTTTAGTAAACCGTTGAGTCCTAATTTTTTTCAATCGAACTGTATATTTTCATGAAGTTCTATTTCTCTATTTGTAATAAACCCTAAAACTTCTCAAAGCTTTGTTATTGTTACACTTTCCAAATGTAGCCCGTGAAAGTAGCTTGGAATTATGTTTGCGTCTGGATGTAAATTGAACTTCCACAAGTTGCGGGATTCGCTTGATTTTTAGGATATTTGTGATTACTTGAAAAAAAGATAAAGAAAATCGCCCTCCATGGTCGAATTTAGTATGAAATTATGAATACCTATAAATTGAAATTTTTTTTGGAAAAAATAAAAGAAACTTCGTGAATATTTATTTAATTGCCAGCTCTTCCCATTAGGTTCTACAGAAGATCAACCAGTTACCTTTGGTGGAGTCATTGAGCTTAAGCAAAAGACGGAGGAAACTTGTTTTGAAATCATCAGCGGTTGCAGAGGAGAGGAAAATGGCAGATAATAGGATGCTGGTAAGTAATTTCTGGCCCCTATGATTTTTTGTTTCTTTTATTTTTTCATACGGCAATCTTTTTTTTATTTTTTCTTTTTATGATACTGGCCATCTGGCTAATATTCATATTGGCCTGAATTTTTTACAGGTATTTGTTCCACCTCATCCATTAATCAAGCACTGGGTTTCAATTCTAAGAAATGAGCAAACTCCTTGTGCAATTTTCAGTAAGTTTGCGGTGAATTGGTGCATTCTTTTCGTTATTTATTATGTGTGCAATTACTGTAGAGGGTTCTGGCATTTTGCGCAGAATTGTCTGTCAATAGCTTTACTTTATTGTCAATTGGAACGAGTAGGGCAACTCGAAGCTCCAAACAGGGGCCATCCTTCTACTTCAGAACTTATATTTAGAATTTAATAGGGATCATAACTTATGTTCATGTGTTCGTATTGATAGTTGCTTAAGTATTTAACTGAGCCAAAAAGGAAACAATAGAATCAAGAAATTAACAGATGTTTTCAGTATCAAAGAAGTACACTAACTATTGGTAACCAGTTTACACAAGGGGAAACTGTTTTTCTTTAGTTGAAAAGAAGGGTTTAATCAATTTATTCTTTGGGCAGGAACCAATGCCAAACTTCCAGGCAACTCCATGTCTATTTCTGAACAAAGACACGTGTGCATCTTTTTCTATCTTTAATTATTATTTTTATATCTTTTGGGAAAAATTACCATAACGTGGATTTTTTAACCATTTTTAAATTTCAATGCATATGATTCGGTAATTTTAGGGTTCCACTGCATGGGTGAAGTGCTCTGTCTCCAGGTTCTCTTCATTCTTCCCCAAAAATGGTCAAGCAATAGTTGGTTAGAATCTAGATTGAATCTCTGATACAGAGTTACATTTTAGGAGGTTCTTGCAGTAAAAAAGCAATTCTTTATAAGCTGGTAACAAATGCTTGGCTAAGTAATCATCCAGAAGAAAAAAAAAAAATGCAGAAAGGAGGAGAGCACTAGAAAAATCATAAATACAACTTTCATTTGTTGATTTAAGCTGCACTTCTTAGTTTAGTAACTCTGTAGTGGAGTACAAACTCTTCTCTGTTTCTTTCTGCAGGACTTTTTATGCAGAATAAGTGAATGGCATAATGAATGAGATTTAGTAGTCTGAGAACTTTGCCTTTGACTATGGTGTTTATTCTTTGGGTTTGTTTTTACAGTTAATGGGCTACTCTCTGTTCATTGACTCTTCCTCTGGTCTGATATTTACAGGGAGTGCAATGGCAGAACTTGGGAGACTACTTATATATGAGGCTTCAAGGGATTGGTTGGTAAGCTAGTTGCACAAATCTTTTGTTGTCACTATTACTGAAGTATGGTAGAAGGCGAACTTATTTGATTCTGACCTTATATGAAGTTCTCATGCTTTTTTATAAGGAAACAGTATTTCAAAACCATTGGCTTTTGTTGAAGATGCAATTTAGAGTATGATGGTTGTGCTGTTCGCAACTGCATGACCATGTGTTGTAAGTTTCCTGTTGTGTTGAACACCTTGGGAACCTAGAATTGTTGGCATCTTAAGGGACATGGATAAACTCCTTGGGCAATTCCATGTTATTACTTTTTGCTGTTCGCATCACATTACCAAAAATATCTGTTGTTTTGTTTTGGATCTGGTGCATCTATTTTATTTCTGATAGCACTACTCACATGAGTTATTATCATAGTGGTTCTCAAGAGTATCCCTTTACTGAAGGTCTGATTAACCTGATTCACTGTTTCTGTTGACCAGAATACAGCCCAACTCATGGTTTCTGTTTTCCAATGTACTCTGTTGTTTATTGCCGGGAATTTAAATTATGACATGCATGTAAAAGATCATCTCATAAATTTCCCAGACTTGTACTTAATTTCTATTTGATATTTAATTGTTGAATTCTTAATGTGCAGCCTATTGTTAGTGGAGAAATTCAATCACCAATGGGTATTGCATCTGTTGAATTTATTGATCCAAGGGAGCCTGTGATAGTCAGTATCCTTTATGATCCCTTTATTTTTGTTTTCCCAAATTATTTTATTTAGCATTATTACATTGGAAACATTGCTGTCTAAATACGTTTTCTATATTCTTGCTTCATGAAAGTTTACGTCCGGTTTAGGATTGTTTCATTGAAGTGATATTTAAATTAACAATAAGTGTTGCTTATTAAAAAAGAGAATTTCCTAGTGTTGTTCATTAGTTTTGCAGTATAAACTCCTTCTGGGGAATTTTAATTAATTTGTGGTGCTTTTACCTTGGCAGGTAGTTCCAATTTTGAGGGCTGGTCTTGTTCTAGTAGAGCATGCATCATCTGTATTGCCCGCAACAAAAACTCATCATGTTGGTATGTCAAGACTTGCAACACAGGATGACTACGGGATAAATCAATAGTGTACTTAATTTTTCTTTTTAAAAGTGTAGTCCTTATATATTTATTTCTCTTTTAATAAATACAGAGTATTATAGTGATGCACTGTGGAACGCAGAATTGATTATTCAGTTGAGTTTTGCCTTCTGCTAATTTATCAACCCTCCCCTCTCACAGGGCTGTACAGAGATGAGGAGACCCTGCAGCCAATAATCTACTTGAACAAGTAGGATTGCATCCATTGCCGTTCATATCCTATTCTTTAGTTCTTACATGTCATGCTCTTACATTTTTCCCTTGAATCATTATCACATATCATTTTTTCCTGTAATTCTTTATTTGCATATAGACTTACTTATTGCATACATGTCAATGATAGACTCTGACTGCTTTATAGTCTGCTTTTAGAAAGAAATGCAGTTCTTCCGGTATAGGGGCGCCATTGTTTTACTAGCTACTGATGGAATATTACAGTACTAAATTCCTGGAAAAAAAATCTAGTCTTGCTAATGTTATACACAGTCACAGCTTACAATAGGTTCCTAGGAGCAATGGTGTGAGAAATAGAGGCCTGAAGAGCTTACTAGATGAGAAGGAATGAACGGGTGCAGAGGGAATCCAGCGGATACCATGTTTGTGTTTCACAGGTCAGAAACTCCATGGCTTTATTCAGATATTGAATCAGGTGTTGTATGTTGGGATCACTCTTCTAGAAACTGAGGGTCTTAAGTGGTAAAGGAGGATGGAAAAAATGTAAGGTTAGTGTCAAAAAGGCATTTCTGGCAGAGTGGGCAGCATCGCGAGGTTGGAAGGCCTTGTGAATAATGAATACGGAGTGTGACCCATGGTTTGGCAAAAGTTGTCAGGTATTGGGCTTCTAGAATCAGGGACCTTGGCTTCCTTTCTTACTCCTCCCACATTGCAAGGTCTTTTGCATGTTTGTCTCACCTTCTTTCTTTAGATGTTTCTAGCCCCATGAATGAGGCTATTGTCACCTCCTGACCAGGGATCCACTTACGAAGGGGTTGATTCCACTCTTGAATCCCGATCCTGGCTTCCAAGGAAGGGGATCTCCCTCCTCTACGATTCTTAAATTTTGGGTTCTTGATCCTTCATATTAGGGATTGAGGTCCTGAGTTACATGGTATCAAAATTTCCTTGCTTTATAGTATGGTATAGCACTGTAATAATATAGCAATGTGGAATGGTAGTTTAATATAGCAGCAGTATGGTATTGTCTTGTGGTGTTGTCTAGTATATATTATATAGTTATATATAGTAGATCTAAATAGAGTAGCATATAGTAGTATAGTAAAATACAGTATATGGCATTGTATCGTAGTAAATTATAGCAGTATAGTATTGTGTACAATGTGGTTTATTGTAGTAGTATATGCTATATAATAGTAGTCAAGTGCTAGCAGGAGCCTTGATTTTAATAAGATGGACCTCAGTCTTGGATAATTTATCATTTGATCCTGGTAAGTTTGAATCAGGCTCCGCCACATATTGGGATCATGATCCCTAGGTTTCTGAGTGTGGACTTTGATCCCTACCATAGGAATCTTTCTGCTTTTCCTGATCCTGCAGTCTCAATCTCAATCTTGGATTTGATTCAATCCCAGTTCCAGTAACTATGCTGCAGTCTCAATCTCAATCTTGGATTTGATTCAATCCTAGTTCCGGTAACTATGCTCCTGATAGTTGGATGTCCTAATAAAAGCCACAATTGCTTATCCTTTGTCTATTTTGTTTACTGCCTTAGCATGTTGACATCAACAGAGACCATAGAATAACTCAAATCAAAATCATACATGTTTGACTTGCAAATGTTGAGCATGCAAACAATTTTTGCCCCATGGAGGTTTTTGAAGCACCTAAGGCTAGGTCTCCGAGCTTTACATGGTAAAGTGCAATGTGTGTAGGCCAAAGAAATATGAGGGTATGGGATAGGAACACGGAGTGGTCAAAAAAGCATTTATTAGGATACAGTAATGGAGATTGGATGACTGTTCCAGGGGCAGATTTTGGATGATCATAACTATGAAGAATGGTGAGGGTGCTGAAGATCATGTATTTCAATTCTCCTATTTGTGTTAGGACAGATGAGGAATTTGTTGAGCACATTTTAAATTAGTTCATAGGATAGGGTAATTGTTCTAGAGTTATTGAGAGTGGTGCAAACCTTCCTCTCCATTGTGATGGATCTTGAAGTCTTGTTTATTTGTGCCTTCAACATATACTGGAGAAGTTTTGGATATGTTCCACTTGACGTTTTGCGGTTTTAGGAGGTATGTTGGAAATAAAAGGTGGCTATGTAGGTCGTTCGCGGTGTATGCAAACAAAAATTTCCAGGTACTTTATTGGCGTGCCTACTTAGATGTTCTACTTACAATACAAAATAATCTAAATGAACCTACCGTAATCTAAGGATCCTCGTTGCTAACAACATGGTTCTTTTATTCATAAAATCAGAAAAATACAATGTATAAACAAATAAAGAAAAATGGAAACAGTTTACTAGAAGAAGATGCCTCAGATCACCTCCAAAGGACTTAAGTGGACGCCTCGGATCACCTCCAAAGGACTTAAGTACATGCTACTTCAGGTCACCTAGCTCATTGACAAACTGATCTTAATCTCTTTTGAATATCTTTAAGAAGGGAATCTTTAATGGCAAACCAAAAAGCTTGACGGGGTAGAAGAGAGAGGCGAGAAAAATTAAGTGTATGTCACATAGACATACCACCCACGAAAACACATCACACCATAACACACAATGTAAAGAGAACTTATGGTTTTCTTGTGGCGTGGTACATGGGTGGGGCATGGCACCCCTATGTTCAAGAGAGAGAGAGAGTGAAAAGAGAAGGGTGTGTAGGATATATATATAGAGAGACTCCCCTTTAGTGAGTTAGGGTTTACATAAGGTTTATTTATAATGGTGTCCCGAGAATTGAGTTTTCCATCTTGTTGAGATTTAATTTGGACCTTCGATCGTGGTGATCTATAGAGTGAAGAGGTTTTTTATCTCCACCCTCCATTCCCTAAATCAACCATCATGATGAAGGTATGGAACCCTTATCCCTTAGAGTCCTTGATCCATTCTCTTTCAATTTAGGAATTTTAACCAATATATTACAATATAGTTTCTTATACTAAAAATTAATTTCATAGCACTTTCAAAAGTATGGAGACACTTTCCAAAACTCGGCAGACACCTTCCTCTCTTTCCCATGCAATATCTAAAACTCAATATTATGTAATATTATGTCAAATGAAAAGAGAATAAAACACCAAAAAATAAAGGTGTGTGGGTCATGGAGGCCCCTTGTGGCCCCCCATGCCCCACAACATGTGGGCCCCCATATGTGTGCCCTTGGCTATCGGGCTCCACATGGGCCCGCCATGTTTTTCAAGTGCCCAAAGATTTTTTTGAACCCCTTTTACTATTTTTAAAATAGCTTATGAATCTTTAAAATTGAAAATCCCTTTTATTGCTTTCCTTGGGTAATTCACTCTGGGTGGATACATCCGGTCAAGATGATGAAAAAAAATTAAGGTACTCCACTTATACTAGTTCCCGTGGTCCACAATTCATCTTCTCAAACCAACCTAACAAAATCCATGATCACATTCTATAGCAGGGGCTCATGCTTAGTCCATCAGAGTTGGTCAATAAATGAATGGAACACGAATCTAGTGTGTGAATTATAGTTCCACCTAAGGACAAGTCATATCCGGTATCGTAAGTGCACACTTTCGCATTGGTGCAGGGAGCTTCTCTTCAGCACATGTACATGTCTTACCCAACGCGTCGCTTCGCATAGATGCGGCTATCGTAAGTACATGCCATGCAGTGATAATGTTGAGGAATTTACCCGTTGCCCTTATAAGCCACCAATCGTATACAAGTGACCGGCATTTCCTTGACCTCTCAATAAGGGTGAACTTTGCAAACCCTCTGCAGTTGTGACTTATGCTCAAGGCTGAAAAGTTTTGAACTCGATTCCTGGGTCTAGACCACCCAACTCGTGTGAGCCAAAGGGCACTACGAAGCAATGCCTCTCTGTACCCATATGGATCATGCTCCCACTGGAGTATGACAAATCTATCATCATACATTTTCACATGCTCTCAAGACCTTTAAAGACTACATACCCCAACAGGCAATTGAGATAATTAGGACAGTCATGAAAGCAAATGGGTTCTGTACTCTATATTGCATCAGTTTCTTCTTATAGGCTCTTCTCATGAAACGTTGGAATTTTGAATGCTTCAGAGCTGTTTACTTGCTGTGCTAACAGTTCTACAAGTTTACACTATAAATACAAAGTCATTTATCAACCTCTCCCCCCCCCCCCCATAAAAAAAAAAAAAAAAAAAAAACAAAAAGAAAGCTATGGAGGTGACCCTCTTCAATGTGTTATGAGCTAAATCAGCTTCATTAGTTAGAGATAATGGGATTTAGAGGTGTTGAACCTTTTGTCACCCTCATCTCAAAAGGCTTGAACGTTGAAGGGCCAATAGCTGACGCTGATGGTCCGGTCAGGAGTTGTAGGGCTAACCCTCTCAATGGTGTTTCAAAACCAAAATGAATGGCATTTCTAGGAGTATCCAAATCCATC